TTTAAATTATCTGTATAGTGTATGCATTTTTGCATTCTATACATTTGCACACTTTGTTATTCTCTACTGCAGTATGTTGAATTAGCTGACATATTTTTCATATTAGCTCCTTATCATTGTGACATTGTTAATTTTATAATATTTTATATGTACTTGAAACAACGAGGTACTCTATTTGTACAAGTTGGAAATAAACTTTTCTTCTTCTTCTTCTTTTATTTTTTGTTTGTAGTCGTTTTACAACGAACTGAATTTTAATTGCCCGTGAATTTCTTTCACACAATACTATTTGAGAACATTTATATAGTTATACACACATTCGCATTCAACAGGCTATTATAGGGTAATTAAGAAAATATAATTGTTAAAAATGTGGCAAACAGAATACAATTGATAACACTATTCAATCTGTTCAATGACAGTTAAAAATCAAATACAATCATTTTAACCGTTTTAAGTTTAACTTTAAATTGTGCAAAACATCATAAAAGAGAAAAATAAAAAGTTGTGTGACACACAATCACAAATATATTCTGAAAGTAAAAAACATGCACAATTGAACTCGAAAAAACATGTTCATAACCCGAGATCTTCATAATCTGAATCCACTTTTAAAGCTACATGCCGCCAGATGAGTCAAAATATTTCAATAAAATCAAACTTGAGAAAATGTACTTAGATGTAAGGAAAAGTAAAAAGTTTTAAGTTTCAGACAATATTTTTACATATTATGTGCGATTAATGACTGATTGTTCAGTATTTACAACTATATTTCTACTGCGTTACTAACGCAGTAAAGGCCATTTATGCATATTTTGATCACGATTTGGTAATTTACGTGGTTTGTAAGTGCCATCGATAATGTGTAAATTGCTTTCTTTTGGTTACTTAACAATATTACACATTTAAATACATTTTCAAAATTTTCATGAAAAATAGATCTAGCATGAATCTGCAAAATATAATAATTGAAGAACTTGTACAACCCACTCCATCATAATGGTACGACCGATTTAATAATATAAATGTTATGTTACCGTGTTCGATTTATAATAATGACGAAGGGTGGAGTAACTATATATACATGCTGAGATCGATCAAAAGACGGTCTGATCGATAAAGTTAAACAAACAGTACCGATCTTCTATAGATATTTTATGTATAATTCAGCGTTTTGTGTTTTACATGTATAACAATAGCAGATGTAACAATATCAAGCAGATGAATTGCATTCTTACCTTAAAAAATATTTTCCGACATTAATATCACCTTGATAAAACTTTTTTTCAGGTAGGCGGATATGACGTAATGATTTGATCACAACCGCTAATGTTATTGATTATAAAAAAAGTTTTCATGTAATGTAATTCTAGAACTTAATAAAATAGCATCACATGCCCTGTATTTGTTCTTCATAGAATCTGACCTAATATTTAAATCCAAATAGCATATTTCTTAATTGCTTAAAAATTATTATGTGAATATTAAAAATAAAAATCGATTATGTAAATCGTGAACTTGTTTCTTGGTCAAGTCATATTGGCTACAATATATAATGACCCACAATTCAATTTATCAGACGGAGAGGTCCGATGCAAATTCTGAATAAAAACACAACCGACCTATCAATACAACGTGCGTTTGCAACTCAAGCTATTTGTCGACAGTTGCAATTCAAATTTGCATACCTAGTCTTCTCCTTTTATTAGGAGACTGATCGTAATATCGACCGATGTCTGTCTGGCCACCGTGACAACCAGACGGCAGCAGCTGAAAATTTTGGTCATCGGGCGGGCGCCATCGAATTTTAAATATTACTTAAAAGTTAACGGCGTCGGAAGGATAAATTTTGGGGTCAGTGAGTTGAAGTCATCTGGCTAGGATCGCCCTGTCGCCGGGACGATGTTTATTGGATCGAATGATTGTTTGTGATATGATACAGAAACGCCGTCCGATTTTAAAAACATTCGGGCGGACATCGCCCTATTGTGTACAACGGTCTTATATTTGAGAGACCGGTGTGTATATAATGGACATCTAGCGCCCGTTAGACACCAGTTGGCGAGCGAACGAGCATCGCCCAGTACCCGGACGATTTATGCACAGGCACTGGGCGGTAATCGTTTTGTCTTATGGTGATCGCGCGGCTTCAGTTTGTTGTAATCGCAGCTTGAGATTTTTGTAATCGCCTAAAAATGTATCTGTGAATTCTTTTGGATTTAACTAAATGGTCGAGCAATAAATAACGCCTTCGCGGATTAGTATAAAGGTAAAGGCAAACTGCAATTGTTGCATTTTTGCTTGGTCTTCATCTAATCTCTATCAACTGCCTTCTTTGCTGGCACACTGACTATACCGACTGATTTTTTATAGAATATCGTAAAATGATATGCCTTTTTCGCCCGGCGCCCATGCGGCGACCGTCCGATCCATTATAAATCGTACATGCGCCGTCCGGACATTTGAATGCTGTCTGTTACATCAATTCTGCGCGCGACACGTCGTCTCAATATGATGGCCATTTCTGTGTAATAGTTGTAAAATCCGACTTCAAATACTAGTAACGAAGTTTTGGGCCGGACACGATTTTGCTGCAAGGTCATGCTGTGATCTTGATCTTCAAGGAAGGGACCCAAATGTGCGCGCGACACGTCGTCTCAATATGGTGATCATTTCTGTGAAAATAGTTGTAAAATCCGACTTCAAATAACGAAGTTATGGGCGGGACACGATTTTGCTACAAGGTCATGCTGTGGTCTTGGCCTTCAAGGTAGCGACTAAAATGTTGCGCGCGACACATTGTCTCAATATGGTGATCATTTCTGTGAAATAGTTGTAAAATCCGACTTCAAATAACGAAGTTATGGGCCGGACACGAATTGAGGACGTACGTACGGACTGACAACACGGCGACTATATGCTCTCCCTAATTTTTTCGGGGAGCATAATAAGCATTTTGAAGTCTGAGTTAATTATAAACTTTTTCATCTCCCCATGTTTATGGAACATATGAGTTGGTACAAGGACGCTTCCGTACATTCTCGTCCACGTGTGAAATGGAAGATTTTCTATAGATCTACCTTACAAAGATAAACACATTTTATCTGCAGAAATAGTTTTATTTTTCATGAAAACATTGTCCATAAATAAATGATATTATTTAAAGGCACAATATGACTTGGAGTCAAATAATATATTAGTTCTTAAGAAAGGACACGCATGACTTTTGTAATGTTCAAATAATGGTGTTTTTTATTAGAGAATACTAGACGGGTCACGCTTAAGAAAGTAGCCATGAATGTGAATTTATTTGCCATTATTAAAGTAGCAAACTGTAAACAAAGTGGTATTTGGACTTTCATATACAATACTAAACCACTCTTAATGTACTAGTTGTCAAAAATATGGCTAAGGTATTAGACCAATGAGTAAGTTTCCTGAAACTATAACAGGACATGTACACCAGTCAATTTTTTAGATACAATAAAAGTATTTTGGGGGGGCATAATGGGCTTTGTAATTCATTTAAACACACATAATGAGATTTTTATACATTGTGGGGTACAATGCTGAATTCTACCGCACAAGAACACATCTGTCAAAACTATATTGGACGGGCGCTATGGTCTGATATGTTTTGTAGCATTGTACGAGTACAGTATTGTTCCCCAACTCTTTTTTTTTCACACCACCATTTATGACATTTTAACAGAACTTTGTAACCTCACTTCAAGTACAATAAGGATTTGACTCGGTAGGGGACGATGAGATTTGCCCTTGTTCGTCCGCCAGTATATTCTCATTTTGTGTCACATGTACCTCTAATTTATTCAGTATCTGTAGTTATTGCCCTTGTCTTAGAAATAATGTCATTTTCAAATGTCGTGTGTAGCCAAGAGTATTTGACCTAGTCCAGCATGTGTGTGGTTTGCTTAGAACTTAAGTTATTGCCCTTTATGAATCTTTACAGAGATGTTGGTCAGCATGTGCACCTGGGGTTTTGCGTTTGGATTTATTCAGGTTTGTTAGAGTTATTACCTTTGACTTAGTACAAATTTGCAATTCACAAAGTATTTCACCTAGAGTCACGAAACATTATAGGAATGTTGGTCAGCATGTGTAGTTATTCACTTTGGGGTTTGCTAGTGAATTTATTCAGTATTTGTAAAGTTATTGTCTTTGCACGACTTAGTAAAATATTTGCAATTTTCAACTTGTGTCTTGCGCAACTCAATGAATTTGACCTCGAGTCATGTAACTTTACAGGACTGTTGACAAGCTTGTGTAAATGTGCATCTGCGATTTGGAAAAATCAAGATGTCATTTCAAGCCCAACCACTTAGGGATTGTGGGGGGGGGGATGTAGAATTGCCTTATGTCTGTCGCTCTGGCATACTGTCCTGCTGTGCGTCAGTAGACAGTGAAGGCATTCTGTCCTATGAACACTTTTCTAGTTTAAAAGTTTATTTCCTTCTACATAAGATCAATCACATTTAACGATTGTTGTTATAATCATACTGTGACAAATCATTATTCAACGGTGGCGAATCGTTAATGTGGCGAATCGTGACTAATTAAGTGGCCTCATTGGAATAAAGTTGAACAAGGCAATCTGAAGGACAGCTAAATCCCCTTTCGCAGTGTTCACGGGTTTTGTGCTGACCCCAATGCGTGACCTTGATCTTTGAGCGACACTCCATCCTGTCATGGTGAACATTTGTACCAAACTGTTTAGAAATCCTTCAAGGAATTAGCAAGATATAGACCAAACAAATCTGGACGGACGCATATACACCCAACTTTACACGAAAAGTGGCTACTAAGTTGAGCTGACCGCCAGCGGGCTCGACGAAAATTGTCAGGGGTTTAAAGTTATGGCATGGAAACGAGTGTTACAGACGGACAGACGGGGCGATTCCTATAATCCCCTCATAATTTGTAGAAGGGGATTAAAAACAGTTATATCATTTGCATTAATAAATAAACATATGACAATGATAATAAGTTTGTAATATCTTTATAACCTATAGTGGTACATTCATAAATAACAATACATTCCATCAATTTCATCAGTTGTCAATACATTTTGTTGCTATATAATAGATTTGCTAATGAACGGCAAATGTTAACAAGCAAATTCGTTGAATTTATATCCCCCGCCGAGTACTGGTTATTATTAACACAGCAACTGAAGACATAAGGCTTTATTTATATATTAATCATGGCATAAACAGTAATATTCTTTGAACTTGATAAATATTCAGGGCCATAACTTTGTGTTAAATAGTAAAATCTGGAAATGCCAATGAGATGTATGCATACTACATAACTAATCAAGGGCCATAAATCTGAGATATAAGTATCTGACCAGGAACAAGGCGACTATATGCACATCTCCTCTTAGTATCCCATAAAGTTTCATTGAATTCCAGCCAGTAGAAGCAGAGAAGTAGCGAAGAAACAAATATTTTTCTATATGGATACTGCATAACTAATCAAGGGCCATAACTCTGAGTTAAAGTGTCTGACCGGAACAAGCCGACGATATACGCATCTCCTCTTGGTATTGAAGGTTCCAATAAAGTTTCGTTGAATTCCAGCCAGTAGTTGCAGAGAAGTAGCGCGGAAACGATTTTTACTCCATACAACGCCAAAACTATATCCCCCTCCCGATTCCATCGGCGGGGGATAATTAGAATGTAAAAATTTAGCTCCGATACCATGAATTTTGGACTTAACCATTGATATTCTCAATAATAGGTATTAAGCTCATTGTCCATTGGAAATATCTCCCATAAATAACAATGTTTTAAGACAGTATATTTAAATCTGTATGTGAAGCATCATATTCTTATTATCAAACCCTCATTAACCTACTGAATTCATATAATGGATCTGCCCAACTTTTAATTTGGAACGGTACATTAAAACAATTTATAGCATTTCAATATCAAAATACAAAACTGAGCTACCAATAGTATATAGCCTATATATTTATTATGAATTCAGTAAAAAGACATTTAAAAAAAAGGCTGACACAAATAAATGCCAGTATAAAGACCTATCATCATTTATGACATAATAACTCGAGTTCTGTTAACAAGCATTTTACAAAGAACAATTTATATTTTTTATTCATTATCATATTTGCAATCATCTAGATCAGGACCAATTTAAGTAATTGTACAAAATAGGCTCTCAAATATTTAATTCTTATACTGATAATTTGACTATAAAATGCAATAAAATTACTTTATAAAACTGGTCAAAATTGATGTAAAAAGGATTAATTTTTAACAAAGACCTAACAGTGATCTTAAAAACTTTGTACAAATCTAGAAATCCAAGGTAAGCCAACAAGAGCATCGTACACCCAAAGGAAACTTTGTTGAATGGAGAAAAATAATCTTTCAATTAGGGAAGAGGCCCATTTATGAAACTTCACCAAAAAATGTTTTATCTTAATCATTATTTTAATACTAAATAAACCAAAGAGTGGGAGCATTTTGACCCTAGCTTTATAGTTCATAAAACTACTATAGAGGTCTACCAGGCAATGCTACATACCAAATATATAAGCACTGTGATTTTCCACACAAAAAGATTATTCTAATACATCAATATACATAAGGCATGTGATCCCCAGGGCAGGGCAAACTTTGACCTCAGGGTCATGGCTTCTAAACCTTTTGTAGAAGACTAGAAATTAATGCTACAGGTCACTATCAATGATCTGGGCTTTTATATGGAAAATAATTTCAAGATATGTTTATAAGCCAACATAAACTAAGTGACCCCCTGGTTGGGGCCAAAGGTCAATTTTAAAGGTCAACAAAGCAATGCTACATGCAAAATATCTAAGCTGTGGGGATTTAAGTTTCAAACAATAAAACTTTATACTTATGTAGTCTATATAAGTATTTTTTCTGTCAAAGATTTTTAATTTCCTTCCAATGGTTCAAAAGATACAGAGCAGAATTCACACATAATAACTACATGTAAGTGTGACCGTCACCTGAGGCAGATTAAACCTGTCCTTTTTCAAAGCATATAAAATCATTCAAGAACAAAATGGTAATATATCCTTACACTTTTTCCTAATTCTTTCCTAAAGGGTGTCTTCTGTAAAACATTAAAATTTCATTTAATTTTAGTTTCACTGAAGGTCATCGTAAGTTTTGAAGTTCAGACATTCTTTGCTGTTCATAGTCTTGATGTATAGTATATGACAGGTGATTCCTTCTTAAATACAAGACCAACATCTACAGCCATCTAAATCCTAACCACTTGTGCAGATACATCTTTAACCACAGACTGGTTATTTCCTAGTTCATTTACTTGAACAACAATCTTTGCAAATGTTGACCCAGTCAAACCTTTAGTAAGACGGCCTGGGTTTATACAACAGCATCCCTTGATTTCCTGCAATATACAACATGCGCTGGTCATGTTTTCTGACAGAAAGTTACAATTTTCTTACTAGCTTACAGTAACTGCTATACTAAGTAATATTTTAAAGAATAAGTATTAAAACATAACATTGAGAAAAATCTGATAATGCATGTAAGCAACTTTTATCAACAAAGATAATATATGTCTCTCATTCATCATATCGCAATTATCATCTAAAACAGCCATCACTTTAATCACATACCCCTGCAACTCCGAAAAAAAATGGCAAAGCACGACTGTGCATATATTTTGGGGTAAGTGTAAGGACATGCTAAATTTTAGCATTACACAATAATCTTGTTAATGAAAAAGTGAGTCTTCTTTTACGGTAAACAGTTCTTAAAGTAACTTTATATATTTGACCCAAGGGCTTTTATTTGAACAAACTTTGTAGACACTCACTAGAAGATGTTTCATGCTTGGTATCTAAACTCTAGCTATTTGGGTTTTTTCAAAGAAGATTTTTTTAAAAAGTTTTTGCTTTACACATATAAGGAAAATCAATGACCCCCGGGACAGGGCCAATTTTGACCCCAGGGCTCTTATTTGAACAAATTTGGTAGACACCCATTAGAAGATGTTTCATGCTAAATATCTTAGCTCTAGAGCTCTTTGGGTTCTTTAAACCAAGATTTTATAAGTTTTTACTATATGCATATAGGGAAAATCAATGACCCCCTGGGGCCGGGCCATTTTTGACCCCATGGCTTTTATTTGAACAAACTTGGTAGACACCCATTAGAAGATGTTTCATGCTTAATATCTTAGCTCTAGCTCTTTGGGTTCTTTAAAAGAAGTTTCATGCTTAATATCTTAGCTCTAGCTCTTTGGGTTCTTTAAAAGAAGATTTTTTAAGTTTTTACTATATGCATATACGGAAAATCAATGACCCCCGGGGCAGGGCCAATTTTGACCCGATGGCTTTTATTTCAACAAACTTGATAGACACTCACTAGAAGATGTTTCATGCTAAATATCTTAGCTTTAGCTCTTTGCGTTCTTTAAAAGAAGATTTTTTAAGTTTTTACTATATGCATATACGGAAAATCAATGACCCCCGGGGCAGGGCCAATTTTGACCCCATGGCTTTTATTTGAACAAACTTGATAGACACTCACTAGAAGATGTTTCATGCCAAACATCTAAGCTCTACCTCTTTGTGTTTTTTAAAAGAAGATATTTTAAGTTTTTTCTATCGGTTGCCATGATTGGTTGCCATGGCAACCAGAGTTCTGCATGGAATTAAATTCTTTGAACAATTTTTAAAGGTGACCACCAAAGGAACATTCCTGTGAAGTTTGGATGAAATTGGCTCAGCGGTTTATGAGGAGATGTCATTTAAAGTAAAAGTTTACGGCCGGACGCCGGACCAAAAGCGATCACAAAAGCTCACCCTGTCACATTGTGACCCTGTCACTTTGTGACAGGTGAGCTAAAAATAAATCCTCTTTAATTAAGCACTTATAGTATTACTCTAACATTCAGCACATTATTTACACCGTATTTGTAAGACACAATGATGTCATGTCAAAATATATATGCACGGCTGTGCAATACCATTTTTAAAGTCTCAAAAGAAATTATAGTATAATCAACTCATACAATAAATTCAGTATTGAACATTTCTTCATTTAATATTCTCTCTGCCTTCTGATGAGTTGATGTAAACCATAAAGCCTGTGTCTGCACCAATCCAAAATCATCACTGTTACTTTCTGTTACAGACTTTCGAGCATTAAATGACGAAGGGATTTGGAAATGAATCTCTTTACATTACATTTATTTCAAACATTTAAGCAGACATAAGTAGACGCATCAAACCAGCTAGATAGTTTTCCTCATATGTGTGCACCTTAACAATCTATTAATTAACACTAGATTCTTTACATGTAATTTTCTTACGGTAGTATCAATCTCTGTAGAGGCAGACATTTTCTATGATGTCATTATAGCAAAATCAAAATGTAAGTAACCAGCATTTACCTTTATAAACTGTTTAAATTCTGAGGGTATTATCAGGACATGAGGTGTTGTAGGCATAATACATGTTGTGAAGAACTTCTCATAATCTATACACATATCTTCATGTGGTGGGTAGTACGGGTAGTAGCTGAACAATAAACACAACAATAATTTAATAAGAAATTTGAAGATTTTCTGTTTTAAAAATAAAACCCCATGATTACACAAAACTATTAGATGAAGATTTTCTATGATAGTTATGTTTTGTATAATAAAGAATCTTGCAATAATCAATTTTTATAAGTTACAGTAAAGGTGGATTTACAACAAAATTTCTTCTATAAAGAATTACAAGCATATAAAATTTAATTCCATGAATGCAATAATTCCAAAGCTTAAAATAATGAGATGTTTTGCTATTACTTTGATATCAGCTTAATTTACTAAATAACATTCTCCACAAAAAGAAAAGGAAAAACATACCTATGCTGATTCAGAAGATGCTGCGTTAACCTACCAAGTCGGTCACTGGACCCCGGGGGACTGAAAACAGAATGCTAAACTTTTATACATAATAAAATTTGCATTTCTTATTGAAGACAAAGATATTCTTTCCACCTTAATATTTGTAACAAGCAGATGAACATGCCTTAGGAAAATTTGAAATTTAAGAAATAAAGTTATTATTTTCTTGCTTAAGAGACGAGCAAAGGAATTTTCAAATAATATATTACATAAATTAAGAAATTATGCTACTTTACATACAAACTTGAAACCTCTTTAATTTGCAGGCAAAATTAAAGACATTTATTGTTCGAAATCTTTATTGACCATAAAAACTGTTAACAGTGCAATTGATCCAACAGTCACTGTTTTCATTGATATTCAAAAGAACTTACAAGGAAATTTCTTCAGTTCCCATGTGAAACAATACATCTGTTGAAGTAAGGCCAAACACAATGTTGTTTATTCTAAGTGTGCATGGATCTGCTGCAAAGTGTACATGCTGTAAGTTAAAAGACAAATATATATTTGTCAAACATAAATATCAAGCATGGCATTTGTTAAATCTAAAATGTATTTATTTTACTGAAAATAAATTCTTATCAAGTAAAAGTTACTTTTCATGTATTGTTGTAAAATATAAAAAAGTTCATTTCAGTTTTCAGCAAGCTTACATTCTAAAGTTAACAAATATAATTTCAAATTTATTATAAATTTATAATGAAAGGGACAAATAAATGTAGATAGTATTATTCTTTACACTGTCATGAAAATATGACAAACTTTCTAAGCATTCAAATAACAAGAACCTTTAAATTAAAAATTTTCTCTACATATAGTCTGATTTTATTGACCTGTCAATTATGAATACATTAAAAAACTCATTTAAATATTCGATCCCACTTCGGTTGGTCTGTGTAGTTTACGAGAATTAATGCGGAATATATTAGTCATGTTTTGAAAGTCACTACAGCCTAATGTGAAGGTTTTCGTTAATTCACAATAGCACAGTCAGTTAAGTGAATGCTTGATAATTGAGAGGTATGTGATTCGATCCTTACTGATGACATTGTTTTACGCCTTCTCTTTTTTTATTTTTTAAGTATATCTTAAATGGAATCAATTTGTAGTGTGCTTTACGGCATTGGAATGACATTTATTGATTTTAATCTGAATTAATTTTAAACATGAATTCTTAAACCAGGGCTCTCGATTGACACGGGGATCCGGGTTTTGACTCGTGAAAATCGGGAAATGCACAAAATTGACACGTGATAAAATCTGCTCAAGAGTCAATTTGCCACATGGGATTTTCAGCTATGCAATAATAATTACCTTTAATCCACCCCTAATTACCTATCAAATCCTACATATGTTCAAATCTCACTCATTAAAAATGTCAACAGGCAATATAAGCCGTGTATAAAATGCTTTACACACTGCATTGTTTATACCCTGTGCACTGAAGCGTGACAATTCAGTGGCTGCAATTTGACAGTGCTAAAAATAGCTCTACACAACTGATAAGATTTACATACTTGAGGCGTCAATTATTGATTGCTTTTAAAGTTTTATAATACGTCTTTGATTTACTTGGAGTACCTGTGCATTTGTTATTTCTTTTTCCATTAAATATTCCAAGGTACATTTTGGTATTTAAAATTAATATGATATAGCATACCAGTAAAGATAATTTTTTCCTATTTTTTTCATTTAATCAGAAAAGCTGCTGCTTATTTTATTCTTTCACAGCAATTCATTTTTTTGTTTTATTTGTTTTTTTTTTAGGGGGGGGAGGTATAGACATTTATAATTATGGATTTTCTCTGTCAATTTAGACTTTGGAATCTCCAAAAATGACCTCCAATACAGTCAATTTTGTAACATAAAAATGATTCATGTAGTCAAATGACACTTAACAAAAAAATGATTTGACTCATGAAAATTTTGGCCAAAGAGTCTTTGACTCGTGAAATTCTGACCCTACTGAGAGCCCTGCTTAAACCATGTTATTTAAAAAGAATATAGACTTTAGAAAATTAAGTTAAACATTATAAAACGAACAACATAAAACAAACCATATATAACTTCAATAATGATGAAAATATTAATAAGGAAAAAAAAACATGGACCAACGCTCTCTGGAACTTAAAACACGTATGGCACTTAGATTATAAACTCGTACTTTACCCTATCGCGCTATAATGCTCACTACACTAAGTTCATAGATACAAATGATGTTAAATTCCATCCTACTGCGTACATGTCACGAAACTTACCAAAATCTACCGAAGATTAATATACTTTGTGTACTGACCCTGTAATCAGTATGTAATTGATAGGTTAATAAAATCAAACAATAAGCAGGAAAAGTCTTTATTCATATGCAATTTAAAACTACTTGTTATTGAATTATAGCGATAAGAATCATTATAGTCAGAGATTTATTAGCAGGAACTGTGAAGGTATGAAATACAGCTACCTTGTAAGATTTTTCTAGATTATAAGGTGGGGTGGGGTACACTGGATCATGATGTATATCTCTTTGTGAGGGCAATACAATCAGCTGGACATTTAAACTGAAATATGAAATCATATAGTTAGAACACACAGAAGATATGAAAAATACATAATTTGTAAAACAATTTTATTTATATGATCAATAAATCATGAATAAAATATAACATATATATAAATCATTAAAAAGAATTTTAAACTACAGAATATTAAATTGCTTAAACTCTTAAAAATCAAAATATAAGAAAAAAATATTTTTAAGATATATTTGTTCTTATTTATCTTCATTATCTTTTTAAATGTAAAATTACATCTTACAAGTACACACAGGAAAGATAGGTGATGATTTAAATTCTACAAAAAATGGGTACGGTAATCACATTATGAATACATAGTGCCATTAAAAAACCTACATTTCCATGATGGACCAAATTAAAATGACCTCTAATAGGGAATGCTGCTTTTAAACATAGTTTGTGCATTCTTTTGTTCAAATTTGATATATTAAGTTACAATTTCCTAGATTTTTAATAAATTTTCTATGATTTTCTACTTACTTTTCTGTCACAATGGCTACTTCATCTAATTTTTGTTTAAAAATTTCATCAAATGTGACTTTCAATTTACCACTCTGAAAATGTAAACATATTTCAACAAATAATAATAATTAAGTGCCAGTATTCAAAATTTCAGGATTCAAAGTTTATCACTAATACTGAATTCAAAATATGTAGTTGAATAGGAAAAAAAGGACTTTTCTAAATATGAACAGATATTTTCTAAACAGATATATGTTCACAAAGACATTCATGGGCAAAACATTTTTTTTTCAATCAAGTTAAGTGACTTTGGCCTTTGACCTGCAAGCCTTGGTTTAGCACTAGACACACTAGCTTAATGTGCCAAATATTTACGCAAAAATTATTTCAAAATCCATTCATGAGTAACAAAGTTATGGCCTGGACAATAAAGAGACAGGCTATACAAAAATTATATGTCACCTTTGGTGATATACAAATTCTTTGATCTAAGCTTGCTTGAACTTAAAAATTGGATACACAGGAGATTTCTATCCATATTTACGATATAATGACTTAGATTTATTTGTTACCTGGATGTTTTCAATTATGATTAAATGTACTTAACAAAGTATATTTAATGATTAGCTTATCTAAAGGAGGCAGTTTTTATTGAAACTAAATAAAACTAGAAAATACCTCTATCTCTGCATTTTTACCATCTACAAATGGACCCATCTGAAATAATACAATGTTCTTGTCATAAATATGTAGACAAATTTCTATTATAAAACTTCAAACATCGTTTTTAAGAGCATTTATTTATTAACTTTTCAACATTAGGTACGTTTTCACTTCAAATGTAAGGCTAATATGAAGTTCATCACAACATTATATACATAAAACAAGGCATTATGAGAAAACTCAGCTATTATGAGATTGGAGAATTTTGATTGGCTTTCCAGCTCGGCCATAATGAATTTGCTTTTTTTTTCATTGAAAAAGTCGCCATTTTAAATTGCTGCAAGGCAGGTTTCAGAGACATTTTTAAAACAAGAATATCATTTGCAGTACCTCACAACAACGAAATTTTACATTATTTATTTTTATTCAATAATTAAGTGTTTTCACTTTAGCCTTTGGCCTCAGGCTAATATGACAGTCTTCACTCCAAAGCCATTATGGAAACACTTAATTATTAACATTATAATAATAACTTCTACAATTCAAGATTATTATGTTTCCAGCAGACTTTCCAATCAACAAATACTAAAATCTTTTTTACCAATATTTCAGTACATAAATTTACAAATATATATTTGTCATTTACAAAAATATTCTGAAAAATAACATTACAAAAATAGTTTGAAAATGACATGAAATATTTATTTACATTGAATCAAATATTACTATTTGTATGCCATGGCACAGCATGACGGCTACAGCTTAAAGAATAAAACTTTATAGCCAAAGAAATATGCCCAAAAAAACTCACTAGAATACAGACATCTGGTCTAGTTTGCTGTATTTGTTCTATAAGATCAGTAAATGGTTCATACGACAAACAGTCTGACGTTGAGAATGGTCCAGCGGCTACCATTACTGATAGCCTTGTATTCTTGGTGTCCGTGTTAGCTGGAATCTCAGGTAATGGTAGGGTTACACTCTGAAAAGCAAATTTTTTATGGTTATAAATTCATTTAAGTTCTCTTAATCTTTAAAATAATGTTATTTTTAATTTACATGTAGTTTGATGCTTTAATCGAGTATGTCTCAAAACATCTTCTTTCTTTAAATTTTACTTAACAGATTAAAATTAATTCATGTTTTTCTATCAATAAACTTGACTGTTTTTGGTTTGTTTTAAGTCACATCAAAATCGCTTAAATTAAATTATCACATTTGCTACTGAATAGCTTTCTCACATGAAAACAATTCAACATCTTTAGCAGAAATGTAGCAAAAATTGTAAGGCTCACAGTAAAGTCATGTGTTCCTAATCACTCAGTGCTGGATGTTCCATCATTATCAATATGAACTTCTTTAAAAATATAAAGAGAGAAATTCATGAACCTTCATATTGCTTAAATTGCTGAAAGAATTCATCTAAAACTTCAAATCATACCTCAAATAATTTACTAGCCACAAATTTCTGTCCAGTACTATTATGACCAGCCATGGCAACCACTTGACCGGGGAATAGTGCATATTCCTTCAGCTGTGATAAATCTACAGGTATAGTTTTCCCAGATGATGTATCAATAGAGCCTTCTAATACAACAGACTTTGGGTTAAGTTTACCATGACTGTCACAACAAACCCTGCCAGCTACCGTAACCTCTTCCTGAGTTGGTAGGGCAAGGTGAACCAACTCATCAATGTTGTGAATTTTCTGTAGATGTTCTGCCATGTCTTCTATAATGTCATTCAAAACTGTGCAACAAAATAAAACATTATTAATAATTTATTGGCAAAGCTAAAAACTATAAAACAATTTTAATTTTCCTGATTTTTGTGAACACTTTGGCTCAATTTCAATACATGTAAATTTTATTTACTTGAAATATGACAACTATAAACCATCAAACCATCTTATATTTAGGAGATTATTAAATTACCGAACCTGCACTGGTGCTGACATGTTGTATTTCTTCATTTCTATCTTATTTATATTTAGTTTACACAAAATTCATTGAGTTTGATTGTGTAATAAGCTATGAGCTTATAGATACATACTGGAATACTGAGCAACAAATGTAAAGTCTTAAGGAAACAACAATTTGCCAGGGGTGGAGTTTGAATCCACACAGCTTGTGTCTTATGTGTTAACCACTCAACCATGCCATTAACATCTTAGGCTAGCCCTTATAAATATTAATCTAATTAACAACTTGTAAATAAATCAAACATCACAATATTGCACTTACTAGACACATATTCAAACTCACAATTATAATCAAATTTCTCAATTTAATTATTGTTATGAAATCATTTATGTACCTCAAAAACTCTGAAATCTTATTCTTTTAAATATAAATCTTAACCAAAGAGAGATTTGTTCCCAGCGAAATGTAAAATGTTTCACATTTCTCTTACTTTATTTTTACAAGATTAGATCATTAATGCAGCTGAAAAATGCATCTAAAGACGACAAGGTAATATTTTATAGTGTTTCACCTACCATCCCTTTTCTCTGATAATTTCTGAAACATGTATTTCATATCTTTAGATATACTCTGTTCAGTATTGTAATCTTCTATAAGAACACTTTGACCTGATCCCTGCCACTTTATGTTGTTAGTTTTACCAACACTAACCATTACCTCACCACGATTTGTTCTAGAGTTGTATTTCTTGGCAGGAGTAGTGCTGGAAATAATAAGTCAGAAACAAGTAAACTTATAACTTAATTACCAGGCAAAGTTTATTTGATTATTTAGCAAGTTTATAACTAAAGATTTCTTTTTGAAATCAATGTTTAGTAATTTGTTTGGTTCTCATGTCACTCAAGTGCTTTAAAGGTTATATATGGCATACTGTCAACTTAAGTGGTGGAGAAATAGCATAGTAGAACCACGGCTAGCTGGATAGCTCCCTCACCTGAAATAATCCATAGTACCAGTTTGGATTAGTGCCCACCAGCTGTGAGAGACAAGTGGTTTGAAATCAACGACCTAAACCACTGGGCAATGGGCACCCTCCAATATTTGGAAAATAGCTATTAATAAGACTGTCCCATTAAAGACTTTTAATACAAATTAGAAAGCCCACAATTGTACCCTTATGCTTTGTCAATGCTTTCCATAACAAAAGATAGTAATTCTCTACATATCTAGCAAATAAATCTTTACTGTACATAACAAATATCATGTTTTGTCTGCAGGTATAAACAAGTAATGAATAGTTTATACTTTCATACCTAGCTGGGGAGAAGCTGGCTGGAGAGAATGGTACTGCAGGGCTACGATTAGGTCCAGTAAATCTTTTCATAGGGACATTCTCTGGTGTATGCTGTCTCTTGTTTGATACTGCAGTCTGTAGTGTGACCATTTTACAAATGTTTAAGTTCATACAATCATTAATGTAAAAGAAACATTTATTTTATCATATTTCTTGCTCTATACTGGCCAATCTATCAATTGGCATAGTTTTTTTTACTTACACACAGAATGTTCTTTTTTTTCTATTTTTGCATTCCTATCTATCAAGTATAAGGGCTGTATGTTAGTTGGTAAAGTGTAACTTTGTTTCAGTATATAGATTTGTCAAGCTTTTGATATGTATAATTTCTGTTTGCATTTTGCTCTGCTCAATACATAAAAATAAAAGATTAAATGCATCAATTTCAAAATTTCTTAATAGATTCAACATTTAAAATACAGGAAAATATGCACTTCAATTTACTAAGTATATATATCACAAAATACATTTTAATAAATAATGGGACTAATGCATGAAGATAGAGAGTGTCTATTTTTCATATATACATGTTTATATCAGAACAGGATTTGCTTAGCCTATTATCTAAGCTGAAAGAAGATATATACATGAAATAATAACATGACAATGTGCTTTGAAGAGTGCATTACCTTTGATTTTGGTGTCTTTCCGCCATATGAGCTAAATAATTCTTCAGCTCCTTCTACATCCATCCTGAAAAATATAATTATACATGTACAATTGTTTATAATTTATATTAATTTTCTATTTCAAATAAGGTTGACCAAAGATGTTGAAAGATTTTGAAATTAATATTATGTACAAGAAGTCAAAATCAGAAAAGTTTAAGCTGTCACAACAGTTTAAGGATCACATTCAATCCCTACAATTCAATCAATCCAATGAAAATTACTTATAAATTTACTTTATTATATTGTACCAACAGATACAAAACATTTTCACATTAAAACATCAAATAATAATGCTACTCACGGAAGACTGTCAATAGTATGAATAACTGGAGCCGCCTCTTTTTTAACTGCCTTTGGTGTTTTCTGATGCCTTTTAGATAATCTCTAAATATACATCAAATAAATGAGTGAATTTTTTATCCATATCAAACTATTTGATTCTGTATCTACAGAGCAAAATGTTAATGTCATTCACTTTACCAGCTTTATGTATTAGTTATAATTCCACTATAATCAAGCATGCATGTACCTTTCACATCATCATGATACCATCTACATGGATGTCAGTGTTCTCTTACTGTTATCCAATGAAAGATGTACAGGTAAGCATTTTTAACTACTGTACTCAACAACCTGGCATAAAAAGAAGTAAGAATGACCACAAAGTTGCATTTAAATTTCCCAACAATTATTTGTATTGCACTTAACACAGCGAAATGATTTTTTTTAAAACACAAAATGTTATTTACCTCCCTTTCAAACTGCTCCAATGCATCAAATTCTAGTTTCACATTTTTCTTGAGTGAATGAGTGAAAGCCACCCATTCAGTCACAAGTTCTGAAGCCTCGAGTCTGTGCATAGTACACATCTCCTGCACTGAAAACAAAATAATTTGTTACCAGTCAAGATATATATTTATTATCAGCATATATTTCATCCCATAATTAGTTTGAACCACATACATTTTTAAAATTCTATGAAAGAAAAAAATAGATACAGAATTCTTAAACCAAAAAACCAAAGCATTAACATTTAAACTTGGGCCTGTATTAAGGTTTATTTCATGGACTACCTTGGACTGAAAATTTAGGGAGAAGTTACATCTCCCTTCAGGAAAAATAGGGAGAAGTTTTGAAATTTAGGGAGAAGTGATCATCAAATCTAGTTATACAATTGGATTTTTTCTAATTTTATTTCACAAAATATACATGTACACCTTTATATGAAGTTTATTTAAGCATTTGATTTACATCAACACAACAATTTTAATTTTTTTTAGGTTCAACAGTTTCTGACTATGCAATTAATTAAGAAGAAAAGTTCTTTAATTCATAATAATTATCCAAATTCTTTCAATTTGCAAATGGTGAATATTATTGTTATAGCCATAATATACAGTTATAATTAATTACTATCATAAATGTAATGTTGATAACAAGAATGGACAGGCAAACGTATATGGGATATTGTAAATCAAACAAAACACATAGGGGAAATAGTAAATCAAACAAAATGTATAGGGGATACTGTAAATTAAACAAGACATATAGGGGAAATTGGAATTAGTAACGATTCGCCACAGTCAAATAACGATTCCCCACAGTTAAATAATGATTCGCCACAGTATGATTATAACAATTATTTTCTTAGTTTGACTTGTCCTAGTTCAAATATATCAACATTTTTTTTAAATAATTCGACAAGGACAATAAAAATGTTTCTTTATTAATATAACTTATGTGAAGTTATGGCCCCCAGCCCAGATTTTTTAGTTTTAAGCATTTTGATAACAATACGAACAATCTTTTATTCACAGGAATCCGAAATTCTATCCAAAACAAAAAATAATGATTTTATAAAAATCCCATATATATACTATAAAACATTTTAAGTATATATAAGGGATTTGTTTTTAAATCGTTATTTTTTTTGTATACAATTTCGGGTTCCTGTGCTCTTAATTATGTTTTTTATATATATACTTGGTGTACCCGAGACATTTGCAATCTATTCCTGTCATATTACACTTAATTTAGCAGATAAGACGTAATTGATGCCATTTTAAGAGGTAACGCCGAATTCGTGAATGAAGCACTGAATCAACGGCCGCGGTTATCTCGTTAAAAGTAGCTAAATTCTATTTTACCAGCTTCCTTCCATTGTTATACGACACTTGTTGTGTAACAAATGTCTTAGACCTGTATACAGAATATGAAAACATAATGTTTTAAATGTGTTTTAAATGTACATATTTATTTGACGAAAACACAAAAGTCACCTCCAAAACGGCAATTAGGTTGTCTTTGATTTAAAGAAGTAAACATATTCTGGAAAAAAAAATGTAATGCTGGTTAAAGTATAATACGAATACGAAAAGTATAACAAGTATAAATTGTAATATATACAATGTTTGGAAATCAAAACATGGATTTTTCCAGCAAACATAAAATGATTCATGGAATATTATGTTCAATATTTAATATGTTTAATTGATAATATATATGTTGCGCTTGCATGCATAAGTTTCAAATAAACAGACGCCAACCTACCATATCCTGAATAGTCTAGAATAATATAGGTGTGAAAAAGTTTGTATTTTCAACATGTGGCGAATCGTTATTTAACTGTGGCGAATCGTTATTACTCTGTGACGAATCGTTATGTGACGAATCGTTAATGTGGCGAATCGTAATTCGTTACATTACCGGGAAATTGTATATCAAACAGAACGTTTATGGAATATTGTAAATCAAACAAAACGTATAGGGGATATTGTAAATAAGACACAAATAATTACGTTTGAGGTAACTTAATTATCAATTAGCTAGCTTTCTATCATCTGCTGCATTCATATCAGGGTCTTTCACAGCTTTAATTAACCAAAAATTTTATGTACAATCAATGCGCTATTTTTAGCGATGTGGATTTCCAAGTGTTGCTATGGCCACGCTTCTGCGCATGTCCTAATTACGTCCGATTACACAATTAAATCTGCCTCCAGGCAGTATTATCCAGACAGAGTGGTGAAATATACAGGTCAGACAGACCTTTCATAGAGACTTTAGGGCGACTGGAATTTCGCTTTTCCGATCATATAGGGCGAAGTGAAAATATTTACAGCTAAGTTTATCGTCTGACTTGGCCCTGAATGCAGTCCCTTAATTTTTTTCACATAACTTTAGTTTCTTTAGTGAATTACTGAATTCAAAATTAACAGGTCATCACTTTGGTAGATTATAACTGTAACCTGTGTATCGTTTTCTGTTTATCACTGGTATATTGTATCCTCCGTGTTATGTTGTATTTGGTTGGTATTCGCCTAACTGTTGTGTCGTCGTTTGTTTGCCTAACTGTGGTAAATATTGTATAGCCTGTTTCGTATGAGAAGTCACTGTAAGTTTAAAGGTTGTATGAATGTGTTCACTAATATTTCACGTGCATGACCCTAAAATCCCTGCGAAACATTTTCTTGCTTAAGTAAAATATTTCCCTTCGCCAGTTCCACATAATACAAGTAACTGATAACTTACTTTAAAGTATACGTTGTTGATAGTAGTAGTTACTTATTAGTAAACATCATTTATGGACAGTTCTTGTATGCTGATCCTGGTAAGAATTTATTCATTTCTAATATCATATTTATTCTTTTCCATTGATGAATTGGATGAAATGTGTAATTTTATTATTTTGTAAATCAATTACTTGTAATTCCTTTGTATTTTGTTTGTTGGCTCGTTTTTGTATGTCCAACAATAAAATGATGAAATAGAAGCAAGTCTTCAATCATTTATCCCTGGTTACAAATGGCTCCCCGACGATGAACTACATACGAGCTAGGGTCGATGGACAGTCTTTCACAACCGCTCCAGGTACGCCCCAGCCGAGAAAACTTAACAGCTTTTCAAGTTGGAGATAGACGGATGTTGTGACGTTGGCACGTACCGGTACAACTCTACGCATCATAATGGTATATTCCCCCGTCCCCTTTTAAAGAGCTCTTTACCCATTATAATGATTACATTCCATTTTATAAAGCCCAAAAGTCTATAAACTGTAGAAAACTTACGTTTTCTAGCCCTATGTAATCAAGAAAGGATCGCCGTGGAACTATTTTCATCGCGGAGGACGACATATTCGACTATGCACGTGCAGGAACTTTAGTGTGTGTGTGTTCACGAACTTTATTTTGTGTATTTGTACATGTATGTGTTTTATAGTGAAAAGTGTGTATATTTTATTGGATTAAGGATGTAATGTAAGTACTCTTTCTATATAATTATTTTGGTCACTTCGGTAGTTAAATTATTAGAATCTACTTGTATACTGTACAGTTTATTTACATCAAAGTTAGGCTATCTTCAGTTAGGCATTATTCGTTTCAGTACACTACATGTAAATTTTTGATATAAGAAGATTTTTCTTTCCTACGAATATTTTTGTTTGCTTGTTTTCCTGACATCTATATTAAATTTTTGCTATTTCTTTTTTATCATTTGATAAACTTACATATATCATTTAACAGTAAAGTTTTATAGTTTTAAATTGACAAACAGAAAGTTAGGTTCGTTTACAATATCTAGTACACATTATATTTTTGAGTGAATATATTGCGCAAGTAAGAAGTATTTTTTTATACAGTTGTAACAAATATTGTCTGTACATATAGATGTTTGTGTTGAATTTTGTGTTTGTGTACATATCATGGTTTAGAAACCGTTTAGCATAGAATTTAAGCAAAGTTGATTTGTTCTGGTGGTCAACAACTAGTAACCAATGATTTGTATTAGATGTACTTAGTCCGTGTCCAATTTTTCCCAAACTCTCTCCCAAACCACTTCCATACTAATACAATAAATGCACTCACGGTATGAATGAAAAGATTGAAATGGTAACCGAGAAAAATATCGTGTTTGGTTTAATTTTTGTCGGAGTCGGTTTATTTGATCGTGTTTTCGACTGACCGCTTGTGTAAAACGGACTATAGATACAGGTATCGAATAGATCAATTGACCTAGTTTGTAGGAAAAAAAAATGACGTATGTTACAAATATTTTCCCACGCTATGTTGATCTAGTTCTAAGACAATTCTTTATTTTGATGTGACAATATTTGGAGTATGATTGATATAAAAGTTGGAAATTAAGGTTTAAAAATAAAAAAGGGTGTAATAATAACAGGAAATAGTTTGAATACCAAAATAGTGTATAAAAAAAAACAAAAACCAATTACTTTTTTGTGTTTTAAATAGATCTATATTGATTTTTTTATTTGGAAGTTTGCCCTATATTATCCAATATTGACCCATATATACATGAGTTCATTATATATTACAGAGTGTTATATTGATATTAGTACATAGCTGTAATTACATAAAGCTGTGATTGCTATTTGATAGCATAGTGCTGTATATTTTAAGATACTTTATAGTCTACTGATACTAAAAAAAGTGGATTCAATTCAATAACATGTCTGAAGAAGGAAATAAATCTAGCTTGGATAGCACTTCTCCTCAGCCAAATATGGAGGAAATTTTGAAATTCATTGAGGACAGATATATGCTTATACCCAAGACTAAGCCCCCACATATTAAGGATACTATTCCGTCCACATCTACCATACCAACTGTGCCATTTGATATTTCTGGTACAGGGGCACCATTATTTGCCAATACAGGTACAAAACCTAAGGTCTCGGTTAGTATTCCTCCACCTATTCTTTTGCCAAATTTGAGTCTTGGTAACCCATTAGCAACTGGATCTATGGCTGGATCTGGATTTGCAAATCAATTTATGGCTTCTACGCCTGGTCCCTCTTTGTCTGTTCCCAATCAGGTAACAATGCCCCATTCAGTCATTCCCAAGATTCCTTGTTTTTCA